TGTCTTTATTTTTGTTGTTGAGTTCTACTTTTACTGCATTGTGATCAGATAGTATGCACGGTATAATTTCTATTTTCTTATATTTGCTGAGGCTTGCTTTGTGCCCTAGGATATGACTATGAGGTTATTTTCTTAATTTCTTTTTTGATATTCTTTGCTATCATATAGAAACACTACTGTTTTTTGTGTGTTGACTTTATATTCTTCAACTGTATGGAATTTATTCATTCCCTCTTCCTGCTACTCCTCCTCCTTCTTTTCCTTCTTCTTCCTCCTCTTGGCAGTACTGGGGTTTGAGCTCAGGGCCTCATGTTTGGCAGTGGCTCTATTAGTTGAGCCATGCCACCTGTCTAATCTTTTTCTTTTTGATACTTAGTCTCACTGTGTTGCTCAGGTTGGTATTGAACTTCTGGGCTCAAGTGGTCTTCCTGGCTCAACCTCCTGAATAGCTGGGACTGTATGCACATACTACTGGCCTGGACTCCTTACACATTTTTTTGGTTGGGACTGGGGTTTGAACTCAGGGTTTCACATTTACAAAGCAGGTGCTCTACTGCTTAAGCCACATCTCCAGTCCATTTGCTCTGGTTATTTTGGAGATGGTATCTCTCCAACACTTTGCTTGGGTTGGCCTTGAACCATGATCCTCCTGATCTCAGCCTCCCAAGTATCTAGTGTGAGCCACTGGCAGCCAGCTTTCCTTTTTTTTTTTTGATGCTATTATAAATGGGAATTAAAAATTTCTTTTTTGAATAGTTGTTCAGATATTCATTTAAATCAAGCTGAGAGGTAATTCTTATCATTGCTTTTATTTGTGGCTGGGGAAAATGAGACTCAGACCCATGAAGCAGTTTACCCAATGTCTTATACCTGTAATCCTAGTTACTAGGGAGGAAGAGATCAGGAGGATTGCAGTTCAAAACCAGCCCAGGCAAATAGTTCTTGAGACCCTATCTTGAAAAAGGTAGCTGATGGTGTGGCTCAAGTGGTAGAGCACCTGCCTAGCAAGTGTGAAGCCCTGAGTTCAAACCCCAGTATCACCAAAAGAAAAAAAAATCAAACTTGAATAAGAGAGTATAACAAAATAGTACTCATCTCTATTTTTTGCTTTTCAAAGAAAAGTACTTCCATATCTGTTGGTTGTTTCTTTGGATTTTGCTTCCATCTCTTCCAGTCTTAATATAGTTACATTGTTACTTCTTAATTTTTCAGTTTTAGATATTTTCTCATTGAATTCCTATAATGGAAAATTAGGATTTAGGAACATAGCTAAATAGATATGTTCAGAATCAGTAGGTGTTTTTTAATCAATTTTACCTTCCTAGAGACTTCTCTCATTGGGCACTTGGACTTGCTCCAGACTGAACTGGTTGTCTCTACTCCTGGTGGCCTGGTATTATCCTGTATCTGCACTCAGACTATCCTGTGGATTCTCCTTGATTTGCTCCTGAGATGAATGTTCTGCTTTCTGGATCCTAGATCTTTCTTGATTTACTCCTTTATTTGGACAGTGCATCTCCTGGTAGCAGCCACTATGGAAAATTAAAATTAAAATTGAAGCTCCTCAAAAAATTAAAAATAGAAATACTATATGACCCACAAACCTGCTTGTGTATATATCTAAATAAATTGAAAGCATCATCTCAGAGTGATATTGGACACTAATGCTCATTGCAGTATAACTTATAGTAGCCAAGATATGAAAACAACATAAATGTTGTTCCAATGTTTCTAAATCCTTGCTGACACTTTTTGTTGTTTGGTTTTTGAGACAGCGTTTCCCCAGGTAGCCTAAGCTGGTTTGGAACTTGCTATGTGGTCCAGGCTGGCCTCAGACTTGCAATCCTTCTGCCTCAGCTTCCCCAGTGCTGGGATTACAGGCATTGGCCATGATGACCGGGTAATTTTGTTGCTTTTGCTAATTCTGGCTTTCTGCAGTCTGTTGTAGGATTGCACTTTTGGCCCTCTTGTGGTTGGATGGGGTCATGTCACTATTATCGCCAGTAGTTGTGAGCTAGCTATACATTACAGAGCTAACTGTACATTATAGTTAGTTAGGAGCCGGCTGCACATGACAAGATCAGGCCATAAAATGGCCAGTCCAAATTTCTGCAAAGCTCTCTTTCCCCTGCTGTGGTGATCAGCAACAATTGAGTGACCATTTAATAGGTCAGGCTCTATAGTGAGACGAGGAGGGGCTCCCCACCAACCTGCGATGGATATGTAGCATGAGTAGGAAATAAAACTTTGCTCTTCTAAGTCACCAGGTTCCTTTTTTTTGGTTACTGTTGCATAATGTCTAATACAGTTGGCTATTAGGGGACAATATCCTATATTGCTCTGTAATTCTGGTGCTCAGGAGAGCACCCTGTGTATGGGAGATGCTCAATCAAGACTTGGTTTATTTATTAAACATTTCTTGAGTATTTTTGGAAGGATATGAAGCTTTTTCTAAAATGCTTGTTTTCCATTTTTCTAAAGAAGCTGTCAGTATTTTAAGGACAGGAATCTTCCAGCTCTTTCACCCCCTCCCTGATACCTTTGTTCTTGGTGCACAGGAAATTTCAAGTGGCTTGGGTAGTTTTGTCTGGGGAGAAGCTAGAGAAGTACACTCTAGAAAGAATGAAAACATGGTCCGCTGGGTGCCAGTGACTCATGGGTGTAATCCTAGCTACTTAGGAGGCAGCAATCAAGAGGATCGAGGTTCAAAGCCAGCCAGGCCAAATAATTCGTGAGACCCTGTCTCAAAAAATCCCCATCACATACACAAAAAAAGGACTGATGGAGTGGCTCAAGGTGTAGGTCCTGAGTTCAAACCCCTGTACCGCAAACAAAACAACAAACAATAAAAACCATGATCTGACCTGGGGGGGGGCAGTGGTGGCTCCTGGGAAAGGAGACAAAGTAAATGAAGTATTAAGGGATAGAGCAGCCTCTGGAAGGGCTTAGGCAGCAGTAGATATAAGGGGCCCGTGAAGATCCTGGGAGACACAGGAGAGCCAGGAAGAGGATAAGCTTGGAAACAGTTTCTTATAAAGTCCACACCCTTCTTTATCATCCACCAGCAGAGCCCAAACGTCTACGCTGTACCCACTCCACAAACAGATCAGGGAGCTGGCCTGGAGTCTGATTCTGGCTAAGCTATTTGGGGTAGAGACTTCCAAAGTTTTGAAACGATCAAACTTAATTTGAAGAAGCACAGTGAACAGAGAGGTCTCTGAGACACTGACAATCTTGGTGTCTCTTGCATTGGGTGCTGAATGTTGACCATGAAGGAGAGCTAGGACAGCTTCTGGGAAAAACAGGGTGAACATGCAAATGTCCAAGGAGTCAGGAAGGTGAGGATTCATGGTAGCTAACAGCGGTGGCCAGTCTCCAGGGCCTCTCCTCTGTGCTAGGTGTGGTGCCAAGTGCTCTACAAGCATCCCCTAATTTAATCTTCACAGCAAATGTCTGAGGGCAGTAGTACAGTCTTCATATTAGAACACAGGTTGTCTTTAATTCCCTGCTGGCATCATTTGGCAATATTCAGTTTCCTAACATTTGCCAAGCTCGTTCCATTCTGACAACTAGTTTTGTATGATTATGAGTTTAAAAACAATATTTTTAGGCACACATGAAAAATATACGAAATTCAAACTTTAGCATCTATAGTAGAGTTTGATTGGCAGACAGCTAGACCCATTTGTTTACCTACTGTCTATGGCTGCTTTTGTGCTACGCCTGCAGAGCTGAGTAGCTGTGACAGACTGTATGGACTGCAACCCTAAAGTTTATTCTACCATTACAGAAAAAGCCTAATGATCTTTGGGCTGCAGCAGTAATTTTTCTGAGAGATAACAGCTTCATTCCATGTCAGGAAGCAGATACTCCTCTTGTTAGCATGGCTTTGAAAGGTCAGACTTTGCTATTACTGTGCTGAAAAGCACTTGGCTCTTTTCCGATCTATCTGATGGTCTATGTACTAGTTAGCCATCACTGTGTAACACTCTACTCCCAAACTCAGTGGCTTAAACCAGCGATCAGTGGAGTGTAGAGTAATAGAACTCTGCGCCAGCAGGTAGCTGGGGTCTGGCTGGATTGCTCTGGTGAGGCTGGAGTGGCAAGGGCAGCTCTATCTCTTGTTGTTGATCTGTGGATCTTCTGGGGGTGGTTCTGTTCCATGTGTCTCTCATTCTCCTTGGTACACTGGGACGTGTTCTTCTCATGGTGATGGTAGAGGCACAAATAGGCAAATGAGAACATTTGTCACCTCTTAAATCCTAGGTTCACTTCTGCTCTTATCTCACTGACCAAAGCAAGTCACATGCAAGACCCAAGCAGAGGGACAGCAAAATGCATTCCTCCTAGCAAGAGTGTGGACTATTGGGGTCAGTAATGCAATCCACCATACCTTATAGGAAATAACATCATTGTAATAATTTTTTTCCTTTCCACCCTTGAAGGATGCTGCTTGTTCCTATTAAACATGTCCTGTTAAAAGTGGCTTTCCTGTTCACCCCATTACATGAATGCTAACATTCTCAGAGGTGAAGTTCATAGAGCAATCAAGGTGTTTTTCTCTGCTTCTGCTCTTCCTTTTTTATTCTCACAATGGCCCACCAACATGTGAGACATCTTAAGATGCTCTTATTGCTGGAAAGAACCGAAGGCACGCAGAACTATCACTCCCGTTCTGTCTTACTTGATTTCTCTCTCTTTCTCATGAACCAGAAACAAATCACTAATAGAAACATTTCCTCCTTCTTGGCTCCCCAGTTTTATTTCTCTTTGTCAATTTGCCTTCCCTCTCTCCCAACCTCCTCAATAACTGTGGTTGATTACTTGCTTGCATATCTGATCTTAAATGACTGTTTCCTTTCTGGTTCACTGATCATGACTCTACCATGCTTTTTAAGGCCATAAATACCAGCCTGGATTGCACAGAATAGAGACCTCTGACTTTTTTTTTTTTTTGCCAATTCAGAAGCCTTCTGTCTCTCTCTGAGCTCCTGTCATTCATGAAGCTACTTCTGTTGCTTTTGACTGTTATCCTGGTCCTGGACCAGGTCACCAAAGGTAACCAGGATCTCTCCCAAGGAGGTGTGGGTCAGGGAACCTGACATATGTTCAGGGAACTTTGGGAGCTCTGACAGCTTGGACTGGGAGAATGGTCTGGCAGACTCCATGGAGGCTTTTGGGTGGCATCTCTATCCAAGGGGCAGTTTCAGTTTTCTGGCACCAATGGATCTTTCCAGCACCCATCATTTGACTACTCTGAGCATCTTTCTCTGACGAGCTCTGGAGAAGTTGAACATGGATGGGGTGGGGTGCAAAGACAGAGACTGGGGTATGGAGTATAAAGAATATGGTGAATTTTCCAGAATCATCCCTTAGGAGGATTTGAATTTTGGTCTATTGTTCCCTCCATGAAAATGGGTTGCTGAAATTCAGATGGAAGATTCTGACTCTACTTTTTCATGCAAACTAAAATATTGGCTTGCCTTATTCTCTGAGGTTCCTCAGAGAAGCTGTGTCCAATTCTCTTGACTGACTAAGGTAAGTGAAAAGTCCCAGGGTGTTGTGGAGAAGGAGTGTGACATTCTTGAAAGTTTTATAGGTGGCCTAGAGGAGTCACAGATGCTCAAATGGATTTATTTCAGATTCATTGGTGTGACCAGTGTGGGTACCAAAGGGAAAAGGTCAAAGGTGGCTACTTGATATCAGATACTGGATACCTTATAATACAGGGGGTAGGAGGAGATGAAACCCTGGTGAGAGGGGGCCTTTTTGCCTCTCTCACAGGAGCTGTCCTAGGAGAAGAAGCTGTCTAGTAGGTTTCATATCATTGGGTGAGGAGGACTTTGGGAGTTGTGACTGGGGACATAAGTGGACGAAGAAAGCAGAGTGGTCTGCAATTTCCCGTAGGCCTAGGGATACCTCTAAGGGTTTCTTCTCCACCGATCTCATTTCCCTTACTACTCTCTTCTCTACTGGGATTTAGTCTTTCCCTTCTCCAGCCCTTTGTTTTCTTTCCAGACTGACCCTCCTCCTCCTTTCTTTTTGTTTTCAGCCACAAAGTGTTGGGGTACATCAGGCAGATGTAAAACAACATGTAAGGAGACTGAAGTATTCTATATATTATGCAAAACTGGGGATAAATGCTGTGTGAATCCCAAGTATGTTCCTGTCAAATTGAAATAAAGAAAACATGAATGGAAGACTTCAATCAATTTCTAAAGTCTGACATCTTTCTCCCACTCGAGTCCTAGCATCACTGGATCCCACAGTTCCATTAAATCATTCTTGGTTGTTCCCTCTTTCTGAACGACAGTTCTACCTAAGTATATTTAGAGACCAGTAAATAAAGATGGAAAGTGTGTGTGTGTGTTTGTATGTCTCTGTGTAAGAGAGGATAGGGTAGACCAGTGGGTGGTAATAATCTTGCAAATAGCTCCTAGCCTGCTGGCCCCTAGTTGGTCTCAGGGAATATAAACAAGGAGTTCATCATATTCATGAGTCTAGACTGGTGCTGCCAATAGCGCCTTCTGCAATGATGGCTATGTTCTATATCTTGGTTGTCCAATATGGTAGCTACTAGCTACATGTGGGTACTGCACAGTTGAAATGTGGCTAGTATGACTGGGGAAAAGAAATGTTAATTTCATTTTATCTGCATTTAAACTTATATAGATAAATGTAGTTAGTTGTTATTGTATTGGACTATACAGCTTTACATTCTAGAGATGTAAGTCTGAGGGAGGTTATGGGGTACCAGTTTCCAGTCTCTGGGTATTTTAGGAGAGTTGAGGAGGCAACAAGAATCTGTGATGAGCACAAGAACTAATTCATAGCCCACATCTTCTACTTTCACACCAAAGGCTCCAGTTCCCCCTTGATCATACCTGGAGTTCTGCCCTGTTAGGGATTTCAGGATTATGTGTATACATTTTCCTCACCCTGGAGAGAGTTGGGATCAGGCCCTGTGTGGATACTTGTTCCATCTTTTTCTTCTCCCTCTAGTTGGGGTCACTGGACATTGAACTGCCAGACAATCCTTTCTCAGGACTGTGATCCTGAGCTGAGACTTTTAGCTTCATGCTCTGTGCCATGGTCTCAAGTATCCCCAACCTTTGATACCTATTAGACTAGTCAGAAATAACTTGGTTCTTTATCTTGGGTCAGAAAGTATGGTCCAGAGTCACCCTTCTCTCATTCAGCCCTTTTGTATGAGATCCCTGTAGCTGGCCTCAGTCCTGTGGCTTGGCTTAGTTACCCCCAGCTCACCTTCTTGATGACAGCTCCAGCTTCAGTGTCTACCACTGAAGTTGTTGAGGGAAGAGCATTAGGTTCAGGATCAGGAGATCTGGATTCAAATCCTTACAGATCACCTATCAGCTGCATGACGGTAGGCAAGCCATGTAACCCTCTCTGCTCCATTTTCTCCTCTCTGAAATGGAGACTTAACCTGTGCACATGCACAAGGCGTTGTGAGGATTGCAGGAGGTAGCAGAGAGGAAGGTGCCCAGCATGGAGTTCAGCGAGGTTTGGTTCTTGATAGATGTGAGTTGAATCTGGGCTGATCTCACTCCCTAACTCATCATTGCAGGCAATGTTGAAGTTCATCAGAGGCGAACTTAAGCAGAAAGGCGTTTCTTAGAAGGATGCCATGTAGTTTATAGAACTGACTGGACATCTAGGCAATCCGGTTTGGTAGGACCAAGGGAGACTGGGCAGCAAATGTAACCTGCCACAATCCTACCACAAGCATTGCCACCCTGGTACTGGAATCAGCATCCCACCTGGCACTCTTGCCACTGGTGCTGTCACCATGTGAGTATTTTTTTTCTCCTTCCTCCTTTTCTTTTCTAATCTGGTCCAGATTTAGTCTTTTAAGATTCACTGTCATTTTGTTGAAGCATCCAGATGGCTGAGCCTACAGCATGCACTTTTCTGCTAACTCCTCAGGTGGCATTAAGAGAATATTGGTGCCTGTAGTTCTTTCTTTCTTCCTCCTCTCCTCTCCTCCTCCTTCTCTCCTTTACTCTCTTCTCTTCTCCTCTCCTCTCCTCCCTTCTCCTCTCTCTCATTTGTTACTGTCCTTAAACTTATGATGCTCCTGCCTCAGCCTCCCAAGTGCTGGTATTACAGACATGAACCATTATGCCTGGTTCCTTTAGTGCCTTCTGTAGTGGGAGGTTGGCCCTCCTTCCAAGACCCAAAGGATAAATTAAACTCAGCTGGAGAGGGGCTCAGACACTGAGTATCCAAAGAGTGCAAATGACCAGTATCAGTTCATTACCCCAAATACTTTGCCTCACTTGGAATGTTTTCCCTCCCACTTTGACCATCCTGATTGCCAGGGCCAGGACTAGATGAGGACAAGACACTTAACAGGGATGGGTGGTGGTTCACATTGCTGTAATGGTCATTGGTCAAGCTTCCATTGTCAAAAAGTGGAGAGGGAGATGCCTAGGATGCAGATCATAAAGAGGCACTCAGTGTGTTACTCAGGCAAATGACTCTTCAAATGTCACCTCGTAGATACTCCTTGCACATCATCCTAGTCCATCCCTGTCAAGTGCACCCTGCTTCTCTTTCCCAGCACCCACACCACATCTGTACTTTATATTTGTCCAGGAGATTGTAATCCCCATGAAGATAGAAACTGACTTAATGAGATAAATGTTTGGCGTAAAATAGCAGAAGTGGTCTCCCAAGAAAATTCCTTCTTTCAGGTATTTTTTCCCATTGAAATAGTATAAGTGTTTGATATTCAATAACCACAGAATGATTCTAAATACACATTGAAATTAGAAGACAAGACACTTAACAGGGTCAGGTGGTAGGCCACATTCATCACTGTGATGGTCATTGGTCAACACTTCTTCCATTATTAAAAATAGATAGAAAGATATGCTTTCATGAATCAAATGTCTCCTCCTTCTCCTCCTTCCCATCTGCATCCTCATCCCCCTCATCCTCTTTGTTTTGTGTGCTGGGGATGGAACCCAGGGCCCCAGACACAGTAGGAAATTGCTCTATCACTGAGCTACACTCTGGGCCCAAGTGACATCTTTTTTTCACTGTCTGGTGTTCTTGTCTTAAGAGCAGGATTATTGTGTATTAATAAGATCAATCACACACATGTATTTAGTATGTTTCTAAACAAGCTTTGTGGGAAGGTGAGGTATCAAGATCTTAATATAACAATTTCCTGGTAATTTGCTCCCATTTACGTAGGAATCAAGGAAAAGAATGAAAGATAATATTTTTCTGCCTTGTTTTTAGAAGGGAAGCCAGGACTTTGTGTTCTGAGTCCTGACCTCCCTTTTCTATGGGGAGTTGAAAATTGTGTGTGTGTGTTTCAGGAGCTGTCCTGGAGATAATCCTTGTCTGCTTGCGCTCCGATTTTGTCAGGGAGGCCAAGGCACAAGGAAACCACTCAGACAGGATTGTCTCAGGAGTAGGATGAGAATTTTTTTGCTCCAGGGTAAGAGAGGAAGCATCATGGGATTTGGAGGCTGGGTCTCCTTGGAGGTTCCCAGGTGTTTGATGCAACATCCCAAGGGGTCAGGTGTAGGATGGGGTTCCCTGAATGGAAGGTACTCACTGTGGAGAGGAGAAGCAGCAAAGGCCTCAATGGTTGGACCTGGAGACAGCCATGGCAAAGTGCAGTTTTCCAGCTGCCCACACTGCTCAGTGAGCAGCCAGCAGAGTTCATCAGATGCTTCTTGACCATGAGAACCTAGGGAAGTGAAGAGCATCATTACGGATGCTCACTTCCCACTTCCCATGAGGTCCTAGGAGGATCAAAGGGAGGATGGCATGAAACCTATAGTAACAGACATTGGCTGTCTCACTAACTTTGGCACATGGGATCTTAGAACTGACCTATAAATAAATAAAGCATTTCCTGAGACTTGAGTGTGGAGGTGACCCTTAATGCTTCTCTTACTATTTTAAAGAATTGTACATGGAAGGACTGGGAAGGTAGCTCGGTGGTAGAGCACTTGCCTAGCATATCTGAGGCCCTGGGTTTCATCCCCAGCACATCAAAACAAACAAACAAAAAAGAATTGGGAACGAGATACTGCCCACTGGCATCTATTTTTTCATGGAACACTGTTTAGAGCAAGACCCAATTGGGGATGTGCTTCTGGAGAGGATTTGTCTAGAATCCAGCCCATCTACAATGTCCTCAGCACACTTTTACTTGGCCTTGGTCCTCAGATTGTCTTCTCCTGGGAAGGCAAGGAGATGGCGTGAGTGCATGGAAGTGGAGGGTGTGCACTGAAGGCTGTGAGTTCCCAGTTCTCATTGCTTTGACCTTGTTGTCATATCCTTGCTCTAACAGGTTCATGAGTGGAGTCCATGACATAAGGCAAAAGTGCAGGCCTGGTAGGCCCTTCCTGGGAATGTGATAACTAGCAGTTCCCTCAGTGCCCTATGTGGGAGTCAGGCTGTAGGGAGTGTGTGGCTTTTTGAGAACTTAAAAATACAGCCACACAGATTTGAGGGAGTGGGTGGTGTCCGTCCTCAGAGCTGGCCAAGGCCAGGCTGTACCCATGTGGGAAGTATTAAAGCTTGAGGCTACAGTCCGTTCTCGTCCTGGCTGCTCCCACAGGTACCACACAGCAATTCTGGGCCAACTTGGTGTCTGACCAGAGCCCACCTCCTTCCCTATCTCCTGGCTCTTCTGTGCTAGGATTCCACGATTCCTGCAGTCCCTTCCTTAGCCTTGGCCCTGATATCCAGCTTAACAGAATCTCCAGGCCACTGTCAAGTTCTAGAGTCATGAATGTAGAGGCCTGAGAGGGACATGGTGAACTGGACAGAGCTCTAGGCTGTGGTGTTTGAAGGGCTGAGGGCTGAGACACACGCACATATGCACTAAAAATACAGAAGCACACTCATGTACCAATTACACGTCTACACAGAAACTATATGGAAGTATAAACATAGCCACACATGTAAATTCAAGTACTCACATATACAAAGTGCACAAATCACACAAGCATGCAAAAACACACAGAAATACACATTCGAGCATACCCACCTATACAGAAATTTACACATATGCACACCAAGTACATGTAAGTTTGATATAACGTAAATATAAACCCTGGCACCCAAACAAAAATTCTCCAGAGCAATTAAATCTTCTTTTTCAATTTTCTCCTATGTCAGTCAAGACCATTTGC